CACAAACGGGAAAATCGCTCCAAAATGCGATTCAAAAACGCCAGCTGAAGGCTCGCCGCTAACGCCTCGCTTATCAAATCCAGCGACGAAAACGCCCGTGCATATACTGAACATAGTTAGACTCCAGTTTTATAATAACAGTCGGTCGGGTGTCGACAGGACGTCTGAGTACCAGAGTAATAAGCCTCACTTGAAAGACAACACCATGTTTTCACGCCCATCTCACTCAAATCCACCAACATATATTTTGATTTCAACTCCGAATATCATCCTCTCCTGACTTAGAATTCTACTAGTCTAAGCCTAATATCCCTCTATAGCTCTCATTCAGTTCTCACGGAAGTCTGTCCAAAACGATGTTCACTGGTCGGCATTACAAGAAAAACATACGAAATGCAAGTTCGCATAGCAAACACCTCGAAACGTTTCACTGCAGAATAGCGTTCAGTCACACCAAATGCATTTCCGGTCCTTTCACATTTTCACACGAAACGTAACCTCGGTGCAAGAAATAATTTATAAAATTCAGTCATCAAAACACCGGAGCTGGTGTTGCTGTATGCAGTGCCATTCTCCAGTGATTTCAAATCAGTCCAACGCTTGCCACTCCAACGCAATACTCGATGCGCACTAGGCAAAACAAGGCACGAAATTGCACTCAAAAAACGTTAGTTAATCAGCTTTACTAGATAAACCCAAATTAAGTGCGCAGTTTCATCTCAGATAATTATTTTGACTGATTAACAGGACCCTGAGAGGCATATGACCTTCTGAGAGTCCTTAAGACGGTTAGAAGGTGCAGGAGGAGGAGGAGGAGGAGGAGGAAGAGAGGGAGGAGGAGGAGGAGGAGGAGGAGGAGGAGGAGGAGGAGGAGGAGGTTTAATTAGAATGAGAAAGCTGAGGGAGTGACCACTAGTGATACAAGCCAAAAGATCATTGTCAAATCGATCAATAAAATTAGTTCCAGCGACACGTCGAGGGTATTTCTGGAATAATTTCGCATTCGCTGCCTGTATGTACCCACAGTACTGCGTCTGGTCTTATGTTGCTGTGTTGGATGTTGGCGGCTGCAGTTAATCGAATGACTTCTAGTCCATTATTTGGGAATAGTTCATCCCTCGGGCCATTTTCTCGGATATAGCAATTCCTCTATCTGGCGGCTCTTTGGCAATTGCACTACCAAGCTTACCTTATTCACTGACTGACTACTGTCTAGCATGGTCCTCAGAAATTCACTTATTCCGGAAACTGTGCACCCGCATGTACTGATTCACACGCGCAAATGACGCCCTTCTCAGGTCTGGTTGGTCCTCGCGTGTTCGCCACAGCCTCCGCCATACCCCAGCGCTATACTTCCCTCATTCTTTTTACGCTCTGAAAGTTCGGACGTCGCGTCCGACGAGGACCACAGTGTGCTCCACGGCAAGATGGGTGCACAGACACGGTGCTTTGTGCATGAATTGGTTTATGGGGAGCGTAGACTTGCGCAGCATCTACCGCTCTCTCTCCTCCTCCCCTACCTGAGCCCAGTGTCAAGACAGTGTCACAGAAACCGGAGGCGGGAGCTGGAGCGGGTGGCTTGCACGGCCGGAGCCGCACCTAGGCGTTCAACCACGTCCCCTGGTCCAGAACAAACACTTGATCAGAACTATAACCAACAACAAAAATGGGCCAGAGAAAGGAGGGAATGACAGGAGTCACTGGGCAACCAGACACACAGTCTTTATACCCAGGGGGAGCGCAAGCGCATCTACCGGCAGGAAATCAAGTGCCGGAGAGCTGCTAGCGCATACCCGGCTGTGAAGGCCATAGTTTGTTGAAGCATGACATAGCAGATACGCACGATCCTTAGAGCGCAGAAGGGTGAGGCGCAGCCCTGCATGCAGCCTAGGCCATTACCCTTCGCAGACAGGGTAAACAGATAATACATAATTACACTTCAGAACCCATTATAATCTTAATACTTATTATAGGCCTTGCTTCGTGCCAGTGGTTCGCCAGCATATCTCCCCGTTTGCGGGGCCCTATTCGTACATTTACAGACAAATGAGAGATTCCATGCACCAATTAATAGCGGCAGATCGAATTTAGATGTAAGTGAACATCTCAGTTTAAATGCGCCAGTAAGGGACATCACGTGCGCATCTTGACCTGCCTCCGTCGCCCATTCTCTTCTTCATGCTCATAATGAGCTATTGTCTTTTTGTCTTTGAAATGTTTCCCCTCGACAGTCTCCAGTTTAGCTTAACAGTATTACTCTTCCCTTCTAGGCGCCGAGATTTCAGCCTTCCCTAGCGAGCTCGAAAAAATATTCGGATCATTGACTGGCCGCATATCTGGGTTGGGATTAATAAGGTCATTTCGGGCAGATTTTTGTTGGCATGTCTGTAGAGCGTCTGGGCTTCAGGCTCAAAAATACTGCATTATGCAGAGAAATAAAATGACGTTTACGTCGGTCTACCTTCTGCGTCACGCACTGCCAAGCCTAAAACAACAGCGAATTCGTCCTGCTGCATTTTCTGTGCTAACCTCACCTCTCTCCCTCTAGCTGCGTTGAGTCAGCCGAAATGGCTTTTTTCTCAGAAAAAGTCTTATGATCCTTGAAGTCAGTAATTATCCCCAAATTCTCCGTTTGAGTGCAAAATTGAGGAGCATGGCATTTCCCCCCTCCAAAGAGCAGCCGCAAGGAAAGTGCCTTCGCCAACGAAATAGGCGTTGGAAATTCCTCTACCCCTAAGGATTTTGGGGATGACAAGCAAAATATGCATACTGCAATGGATTTGTCTCAGATTATTAAGTGGGAATAATTTAAGATGGAAAGATGAATGAATTTAGGAGCTGGAGTATGTGGAGCAGGAGGATAAGGTGTGGGAAAAGCATGAGGATTAATGGAAAGCGCTTCCGCTAGCCGAGTGCAATCAAGGAGGACGAAATTGACGTCCAAAAGTCGTCTACACCTAGGGTTTAAAAGAAGGCGAAGGCACGATCACTGGGACAGTAGATTTATTTGCCTGAGCTTTCGAACTCGAACTGATGAACTCCAGTTCGAGTTCGAAAGCTCAGGCAAATAAATCTACTGTCCCAGTGATCGTGCCTTCGCCTTCTTTTAAACAAGAACCTGGGATGCGCATATTCTCTTCCACACCTAGGGTTTTTGGGATGAGAGTTCGACCGTCGGCTTCGACGATGTCCACCCTGCGCTCCACAGCAAGGCGGAGCAGGGACGGCGACTTGTGCGTGAATTAGTTTATAATGGTAGTAGACTTTCACAGCATCCAGCGTACTCCCACTTCCCGCTCCTCAGCTAGACCCGATGTCAAGACAGAGGTGGGGGAGGGCGCAGGCGACTGGCACTACCGAAGCACCACCTAAGCGTGCCGCCACACCCCCTGGCCCACACAGCAAATGAATGGATTTTTTCGCCAACAACAACAACACCCATAACAGGGGGCCAGAGCGACGAAGATGACTGGGTAGCCATGCACACGACCTGTATACCCAGCGGGAGCGCAAGCGCGTCAACCGGCAGGGGAACCGCCATCGCGTAACAGGCTGGGAGAGCCATGGTTTGCTGATATTGGCGTAGCACACGTTTGCAGACCTTTTGACCTTCATATGGCCTTGGCCGTCACCATTCAAGGTTAGGTAACAAAACAGTCTTCAACTGAGCCGTCGACTGAGAAGCAGTACCCATAGAGTACACACACTCTCCTCACACGCATGAGAGTGTCATAGATCGCTGAAGAAGGAGCCCCTTCAGTCCACCAGTCCGCTACTCCATACAAACACATACACACACAATTGGACGGACTGCATGGAATTAGTTGGGGCGTCAGTCGGCTGCCTTCCGAGCCACGGCGCTCGGCGCACCATGGCAGTCTCAGACCCGCACAGAGAAGGAGCCGAGACGCGTCCTTCACATTTGCGTGGGACATGGCGGTTGGGTGTTTGAGGTTGGTGAGATTGATGGGCGTTGAGATGCTGGTAGGGGAGGGTGGGATGGCAGGATGCAGCCGGCGGCGGTCTACCGAAGGTTTTTGCGGACGTGCATATGGCCTAATAGACCCATGCGTTGAATAAATGCGCGAGTACGGTGTGGCCAGGGGAGGCGGATGCGACGAGTGTACGGTGTTGCTCTAGACACTGGGTCGGCGCTGAGAAGAGGTGCATTACCTTTGGTTGGCGGACCGTAGACAGCTTTGATCGCGGAGAAGAAGCTCTTCCATTCGTTGCGGTCCGCGCACCCTTAAATCTCCTCGGCTTGCGAGCCGTCCAAATGTCCTGCATCTCGCGGAGCCGCTGCTGCACAGGGTAGAAAGCAACTCTGTTGTCGTCAGTGGGGTGCTCGACGTAGGCTTTGTGCAGGCGGTTCTTCTCGGCGAGTAGGCTGTTGATGGCGGCGTCGTTGTCGTCAAACCAGTCCTAGTAGTGGCGGCGTGCGCGACCGAGGACGGCCAGATCCTTCGACTGGACTGTGTCCCACAGTTGGCGCCGTCAGTTCTCCACGGAGGTGTTCTCGTCACCGGCGGCGGCAGCGACTGGAAAGTTGTCTAGCCGCTGAGCTAGCTCGCTGTTGAAATGACGATGGTGAGCAGGCAAAGGCAACAAGGCAATATTCGGCTTAACGGGGGTCACTTACCTTGAGGTCTCCTGCCAGGCTGTGGAGAATCCACAACTTCAAGATGACGAGGCGATGGTCGGTCCAGGCGTCGGTACCCGGGATTGCCTTTGTCACCAGGACGTCACGCTGGTCTCGCCTCCGAACGAGAACATAGTCCAGCAGGTGTCACTGACGCGACCGAGGATGCCTCCAGGTGCCCTGCTCTCGCATCCCGAGGCTGAATAATGTGTTAGTCAGGGTGAGCCGGCGTTCTGCGCAACTTCGTAGAAAGAGTAGGCCATTGTCATTGGAGCCGTCGAGACCATGGGTACCTAACACACTTCCCAAGGCTGCATAGTCTGTGCCGACGCGGCCTATGAAGCCACCAAGGACAATCAACTTATCCGCCCTCGACAGAGTCTCCAGGAGAGCATGCAAGAATTTGTCCCGTGCGGCGTCGAGGCTGGTCATCGGCGGAACGTAGGCGATGGGGGCGAATTTGCCTCCTCGGAGAGGAAGACGGAGGCTCATCAGGCGATCGTCGATGCCCTACGACAGACAGGGCAGTCCGGATGGTAAAGACGACACCCTCGTCTCGTCGTTCTGCCTTATGGCGACCGCTCCAGAAGAAGGTGTAGCCGGCACCCACCTCCTCCAGCTGACCTTGTTCGGACAACCGAGTCTCGCTGAGTGCTACAATGTCCATCTCTTAGCGCGCCAGTTACCGAGCCGCTAGCGTCGTCCTCCGTTCCGGTCGGTTGCTTCTCGGATTGTCTAAAAGAGAATGAACATTCCAGGCTGCCAGAATGAGCGGACTTGCCATACCAGTCTGTGAATGTGGGGCGGCGGGGAGGAGGAGGAAGGGAGTGTGTGTTGTCTCTGTTTTCACTGTTTCATCTGTGTGGTTGGCGTCTGCGGCCATCAGTTGGGGACCTCCGTGCTTGTAGACCTCAGCAGGGATTGCGTCCGATCCGGGTGCTTTCCCGCTGGAGAGCTGCTGCACGGCCCTGATGGTCTCCTGGAGAGATGGCGGGAGGTCGAGGTCCACGTTGGTCCCCACTTGCGGCAAACGCTCGATGGTGGCGTTGGAGATGACGGAGGGGCGGTTGAGGACGCTTCGGAAATGCTCGGCCCATCGCTGCAGGATTTGCGTCTTCTCAGTCAGGAGAGTGTTGCCGTCGGGGCTGAGGAGAGGAGCAGTGCCCTTCGTCGGCGGACCGTAGACAGCTTTGATCGCAGAGAAGAAGTTCTTCCATTCGTTGCGGTCCGCGTACCCTTGGATCTCTTCAGCTTTGCGAGCAGTCCAGGCGTCCTGCATCTCGCGCAGTCGTTGCTGAAGTTGGCGGCGACTGCGGTAGAAGGCAGCTTTGTTGTCCTCAGTGGGGTTATCTACGTAGGCTTTGTGTAGGCTGTTCTTCTCAGCTAGCAGATTTCTGATGGCAGCGTCTTTGTCGTCGAACCAGTCCTGGTGTTGGCGGGGAGCGCGACCGAGGACGGCGAGCGCCGTCGACTGGACCGTGTCTCGCAGTTGACACCAGCGGTTCTCCACGGAGGCGTTCTCGGCAGCAGCGGCGTCGTCGGCGGCAGCGATAGGAAGGTTGTCTAGCCGTTGAGCTAGCTCATTGCTGAAATGAAGATGGTGAGCGGGCAAAGACAACAAGGCAACATTCAGCTTACCTGGGGGTCGCTTACCTTGTGGTCTCCAGCGAGGCTGTAGGCGAATACGCATCTTCAAGATGACGAGGCGATGGTCGGTCCACCCGTCAGCACCCGCGATCGCCTTCGTCACCAGCACGTCCCGCTGATCTCGCCTCCGGACGAGGACCTAGTCCAGCAGGTGCCACTGGCGCGACCGAGGATGTCACCAGGTGGCCTTCTCTCGCTCCGGCAGACAGAAGAAGGTGTTCGTCAGGATGAGGCGGTGTTCTGTGCAGGTGCGGAGAAGCAGCAGACCATTGTCGTTTGAGCCGCGGAGACCGTGGGGACCCAGCACACCTCTCCAGGCAGTATGGTCTGTGCCGACGCGGGCGTTGAAGTCACCAAGGACAATCAACTTGTCAGCCTTCGACACAGTCGCCAAGAGGGCGTGCAGGTCCTCGTTGAATTTGTCTCTGACGGCGTCGGGGTTGGTCATCGTCGGAGCGTAGTCGCTGATGATGGTGGCGAATTTGCCTCCCCAGAGAGGCAGTCGGAGGCTCATCAGGCGATCGTTGATGCCCTGCGGCAAACAGGGCAGTCGTCCCACGATGTCGTTCCGAATGGCGAAGGCGACACCCGCGTCCCGTCGCTCTGCCCTGGGTCGACCGCCCCAGAAGAAGGCGTAGCCGGCACCCACCTCCTCCAGCTGACCTTGTTCGGACAACCGAGTCTCGCTGAGTGCTACAATGTCCATCTCGTAGCGCGCCAGTTACCGAGCCGCTAGCGTCGTCCTCCGTTCCGGTCGGTTGCTTCTCGGATTGTCTAAAAGGGAACGAACATTCCAGGCTGCCAGAACGGGCGCACTTACCCTACCAATCTGTGAATGTGGAGCGGCGGGGAGGAGGAGGAAGGGAGTGTGTGTTGTCTCTATTTTCACTGTTTCGTCTGTGTGATTGGCGCCGGCGGCCACGATCAGCCTGCAGACGGCGTAGTTCCCAGCATTTATTTAGGACACCTTTTCTAGCCACTTCCCCCTCGCAGGGGTGAGCAGTGCGATCCCTAAATAGGGCTAGGATGGCTGCCGAGCTCCACTATCGGCCACGACTTTTCTTTATTGGGAGAGCCTATCTACGGAGGGTAGAAGGACGGGAAGCATTGCTTTCCCATTGGTTCTCTAGATTTACTGGAAATTGAAGTAGGAGTGGGGGCAGGCATATTCAGCAGAACGGACAGGAACAAGCAGACAAAAGCAGGCAGGCAAGAGCAACAAGAAACAAAGGCAGTTAGCTTTCCACAAGGACAAACGCAGACAAACAAACAGAGAGCAGGCAACAGGAACATACTGAGCTTGGGAAGCAGAGCAACGTTCGCTTACTTGAGGACTCACTTACCCTGTGGCCTCCTGCAGTGTTCCAGACGAAGCCTCGTCACGACGATGTCCATGCGGTGATCTATCTGGCCTTTAGAGTCCACATTACCGTGCTCGTGGATGTACGCAAGGATACCCTCAACTGGTTTAGCCCGCCAATCGAGGCGGTTACCGGGGTGTGGCCGCCAGGCAGAGCCTAGCTTCAGGGAGCCACACGTGAGAGTTGGGTGACGGCAAATGAACGCTAAGCGTAGTCTGCACCTGCAACCAAGTGAGCTACCTACTACGACCGTCACATGAACCCACCGCTGGCCACCCCTGCACCCCTGGGATTCTGGAGATAACAATCGATATGTGAAATTATTAGGGGGGAATAATTTTAGGAGGTGAAAAGAAGGATGAATTTAGGGAAATAACTGCTTGCATTGAACAGGGAGAAGAAAAAGGATCTCTAGCAGAAGGAAGCACAGTAAAAACAAGCGTAGGAGAAGGAAGAGAAGATGCATGAGTTTTTAGAAACAAAGGGATCAGCGGAAGCTTGAGGAGCAGAGGGAGGAGTTGGGCGATGGCAGGAAGGCGAAAGATGGGGAGGAGCTGGAGTATGAGGAGCAGGAGGATAAGGAGTAGGAGAAGAATGAGAACGAATGGGAGAGGAAGGGTGGTGATGCCGCTGTTGCTGCTGCTCGTGGTGGCGGTGGTAATAGTAGTAGTAGTAGTAGTAGTAGTAGTAGTAGTAGTAGTAGTAGTAGTAGTAGTAGTAGTAGTAGTAGTGGGGGAGTGGGAAGAGAAAGAGGATGAGGAAGAGAAGCAGTCTGCCAACGAGGTATTCATTACGGACGCACGCTAACCACAGAACATGATGACTTCACCTGCTACCAAACACAGCCCTCAGTCATTAACTGACGCCTGAACCATCGAAACTGAAAAAAGATTTTGGTGTGTCAATGCCCTCAACACAATACGCAGGTTACAATGGGGTCCGTGAGGAGCAAATCAGGTGAATCAGTCCGCAGAATAGCAGTACCGACAAAGAGAAGGGAGACTGGAATGGCCATTTCTAGCCTATTAGCCGTCATCAGCTAGCCACGCCCCACCATGAGGTGCGCGACACCTCGCGACCTGTTGGTTAGAAGTCCAAGGCCTCTAACCAATGAGCCACTAGCTCGTTGTCCTGTCGGTTTCGACTGGGAATATACAATGGCAGGGTGTTATGGAACACGATTGGTTAGCGCCCACCTACCATCGATTCAAGCCGCGTTAGAAAAAGAACAACCATCGTGCTGTGTCCTTGTCTGTCCGCGTGCCGGGAGAAATTGGTTTCTAAAAATCATGTAAAAATTCCATACAATCAGCGAATGGGGCAAAATTAATAGTAGAATAGCTAAAAGGCCCTTGGATCACAGACTTCTGCTCTTTATGGGAAACAGTGTTCCCAAATAAGGGACTAGTAGTTGTTCGGTTAAATGCTGTACCAAAATCCTAAACCGAACGCAAACCGAACGAAG